TGCTACAGTAGCTTTAAGACTTGTGGACTTCAACTCCCAGAATTCCCCAACAATTCCCTCAGCAACAATTATAGTGACACATGGCCGATTAACTCTATATCCTCTTCCTTTCGCAAGCACAAATACATATTATATGGTGTTTGATTGTCTTCTAGCAAAAGGATAGAAATTCAAATTAATCCAAACCCTTCTCTCCAGATGGTTAATGAGGCTAATGTGCTGCAGAATGTCTATTTCTTGTCCCTCTAACAGAATAATGCTCAGGCATCAAAAGTCTGTTTTTTGTTTTTAAAGAGGATCATTATCCCCTCCCGTCACCCAATTGCTGCTATGGCATTATTATTATATTATAGCAGCAAATTCTGGGACAGATCTATAAGCCAAACATAGGCCCTCCACATTAACTTTCTAGAAGGATCGAAGGTTATTCTGAAAATTTATGGAACCAAGGCTACTGAAAAGAATAGTAATGTTAGCCTGTAATCATATGCCTTGTGTCTACTAATACAATTTCTAAGTCTCTATAGTTTGAGAAATTTAGAAAAAGAAGATAATCACTGGACATTGAAAAATACTTGAAACAATGTGGAATGGAACTCTTTAATTTGTCCCATTTTCAGGTGTCCCAAAGATGCTTTTTCAAAAGGCAATTGGACTTTCTTTGTTTTATTTGAAGACATTTCACTTCTCATCCAAGAAGCTTCTTGGATGAAAAGCGAAACGTCTTCAAGGAAAAATAAAGAAAGTCCAGCTGCCTTCTGAAAAAGTAGCTTTGGAACAACCATGACATGGATGACTGAGAATCTCCATAGACATTTCCAATTTCAGGAAAAAATACACTGTAATATGGGATGTATTATACTGAGTGTGATATATTTTACATGACCCCAATACACATGATCATACTTATGTCAAAAAAGGTTGAATGGATTGTGTGAGTATTCTGACCATGCTGAGATCAGAAGATTCATTTTATTGCCTCACTTTGTAAGATTTTGTAAGCCTCACTTTGTAAGATTGAGCAAAGTGTAGCCGCCCGGCTTTAAAATGTTGAATATTGAATGATAGCAATGCAAGACATGCATTCTCAGCATGAACAATTTGTTTTAATTTTTTGTTCTGATATAACTTTGGATACAGAGGCAAAACATGATATACACAATGGAGTACTGAAAACGTTTGTAAAACTGCAAAATTCACAATAATTTTGATAATAAACATTGCCATAATGAAAGACAAAGTCAATTTTTAGGCACACTCTTTTATTTCCCATTTCTCCTCCCCACCCCAATGGTCCTGGTTCCTAAAGCAATGGAATCTTATTCTTGGAAAAATAGGCTATGCTAGTGAAAGGTTCTCTTCTGTTTCCAAATAAACTTGAAATAACTAGGTGATGCAGAAGAAAATAAAAGAGACCAAAAAGGTGATAAAAGGAGGAAGGCAGAAGATCAGAATAAATATGGTAAACCATAGATTTTCTTCCATTTAAAAACATGCTCAAAATTACAATCTATATATGAAATATTTTTCCAAAATATTGGTTTCTACAAAGTGCATGGCAGTTATCCAGCTTTATAACTAAGGCAATGGGACAAGCTGGAACTGCCTTCTTCAAAAACAAATGTGTCTGGTATTAATAGGGTAAATGTTGCGTTAGACACAGCTGTTTGATGACCTAACAAGAACATGATTATTTCAAAGAAGTGAGATTATATCCAAAAGAAATGGCAGCTTTTCTTTTTTTCTGGGCAGCTTCAATTTGGTCACTATTCTTTAATCTGTCATTAATTTGGGGCATTAATACAGATTTGTCATGCCGCTAGACCAGTTATATTTTGTTTGACCTTATTGTAGCCACAGAGTGCATTTTAAATAATTTGTAGAAGAATGATCCTTTGCTATTTTTTTTTATCTTTCAACAAACTGGCATTTGAAATCATATTGCCCCTCTCATTGATTAGTTTTTCATATGTAAAAAACTTACATGCAGATGAATTATTTATCTAATTCTTTTGACACTACAAGTAAGAAAAGAGACATTGTAGTTTAAATAGTAACTGGTAATCTTTGAAGTTGAATTTGTTTATGTGCAGATGAATTAATATTCTGGATTGTAGGGAGTAAGCAGGTATATATCATGGCATCGGACCTGGTTACCTTTGAGACCGCCTCCTGCCACAGATTACCCCCCACCGACCTGTACGCTCTCACAGAGTGGGTCTCCTCAGGGTGCCGTCAGCCAGACAGTGCCGGCTGGCGACCCCAAGGGGGAGGGCCTTCTCTGTGGGAGCCCCCACCCTCTGGAACGAACTGCCCCCAGAGATCAGGGTGATCC